GGGCTTCATATTTTAATAATGATCAAAAGTGTGTTTAGATTTTTAAGATGAAAAACTGAACTTATCTGCGTTAAATCTTCCACAAATCCTATATTTAGACACAATTACACTAATGTGTATCACTTTATATCTGTAATGTCGAACTGAAACATAATTAATTAATTTTCAATAGAAGAATATATTTTTACCCAATATGGCGGTGGTTATGTATAATCATGGCTTCGTCCATGTTGTCTTTGGTTTATTAGAATATTTTGGTGTTGTCTGCAAGTGTTATACAACAATTTGACAAATCTCTAAAATGAAATACGGACAGGGTCGAATGATTTACCCAGAATTTCTACCAGATCTATATCTCCTGTTTGAACAGTTGATAAAACCCTTTAAACCAATATGCATGTCTTAAAATATTAACTAATAATAAAAATGATAATTTTAACTGAACAGATGACAGCAGAAAGTTAGGTTATGGTGAAGTTGTATATCAACATATTTAGCAACAAATGTCTGCCGAGCACAGCAATTTTGTACTATAAAAGTTGGAATATTGTTGCAGATGTACAGCCTTCAACAGTTACTAAACGACAGTTGTATAAGTGCTTCCGTTGGGAGACATTTGTTGGCTAAAGTAGTAAATGTGCACACCAAAACAACAAGGCTCGGGTTTGTTGTGTAAACGTTACCATGGATGCCACAACACAACTATTTTCACTACGGCGCAGATATGCCGTATAAAATAGTTGTATAAACGTTTATGCAACCGTTCAAAATTTGTCTTATAAGGTGTTGTATAACAATGCTATAAGAATATTTTATACACCTCATTTTAGAGCAAATATGATGCAGAGAGCAAATTTACATTCCACACAACATTGAGCCAGCATTTTGGTCTTCAGGCAACAACAATAGAGAGCTTTTACGGCTGAACAGTTCTTTTACCAAAAGCTTATAGCACTACTTTGCTAGTTGGGTGCTTTTAGAAAAAAGGCTCAGGGAATTATATTTCTTCGTAAAACACTGGATTACGTGACCTGCTTATTTGACAAAGTCATGAAGTCATCAATAATGCAGCCATTTAGCACATGCTAAATACTAACTAGTCTAAGACAGCATGAGATCTATCGCATCAGAATCGACCATTGTAGATTGCGCATCGCTGTTATTAGTCGGATCTCAGTTCCCGTTTAATAGCCGTGCCACTAGATGGCTGATGATTCTGGCTGAAAGTAGAAGTGTTCCACTAGCCATTGAATAGATTAAATAAGATGCCTTCGTTTGTCCGACCAAGAAAGACAGCCAACCATGGACAGCTGTTTCGTGCTTCTTAGCTACTTATCAGCATGGTATAGGCTTGATCTCTTATCTCTGGACGTACAAACGAAAGCATCTCAACGATCCTCTATTCCGGAGGTACGGTTTATCAGCATGAGATAGTGCGAAGCGCCATCTATCGTACCAGAATCGACCATTGCTACATACTAACTAGTCTAAGACAGTTTGAAACATAATTGTCTTCAGTTTGCGTGCTAACTTTATAAACCGTAGTAGCATTTCAGTATGAAATATTTTTTATAAACTTAAAGGCTCATCTGTGACCGTGGAAAAATTTCAGCTCTAAATATGTATAGAAAAGAATATGAAGAAATTTTGAAAAATTGTTTTCTTCGCAACAAAATGAGATGGACACATCCGCTTTGTTTTAAGATATGTATAATAACGTACGTTTTTCGAATATCGAGTCTGTTCAATTACTCACAAATACGAAATGTTTGAATTTGTTTAGAAGAAACCAAGTAACCCTTCGTTTTTCGCATAAAAATAACAATTATCTTTCGGAATGGTGATTGGCATCGGAAACGTAAATTCGCGTATTTGTCTATAAAATGCCCGTTGAACGAACTCTGTATGGTGCTCAGTAAACGAGTAGTGATGGCCGGAAGACAGGTGTTTTGGAATAAATTGTTTTTATTTTTGTCTGACTTTATTTTAAGAAATGTCAAAAAAACTAATGCCACTATTTAGGCACTATATGATGGTGTTTCTAAAAAAGTGCTACAGTGTATCTAATAGCAGCTTTTTCTACGACTTCTACGTTACATTTGTTTTTTAGTTATAAACAAACGTGTTTTTTTCTACATTTTCATTGTATTTAAGTACGCGTTGCAAACATATGCTTGATGTAAGATTAGCGAGTTTAACCTAGTCTGATCCTTATCTTGGCCACCCTGTAATACATTATTATAAAAAGAAATTTATAGAAACGTGCACTAATCTAACTGTATGTATTCTTATGTACTTACGAGTACATTCATTTTTGAAAAATCTCAAAACTATTAGCAAGGCCTCGAACAAAATGTCCAAGGAATTGGTGATAGCAGAGGTAATAAAATCGTCCGATAAGCTGACAACGCCGCAATCCAGGTGACAAGATCAACTTTCAAAACGTATGTCTATCCCGGGGTAACGACGGAGTCATTTAGAACGTCAATGCGGCAGTTTTCCAATCTTCATGTGCGTATTTTTAAGTATTGTCAACGATTTTGAGAAAAATTTAGCATGGATAGTCTAGTAGAGTATATCTCAATTGTTGTCTTGCGTGGCTATGTTATCTTTACTCGGGTCTCTGAATTAAAAATACCGATCGTTTCTTGTTCAATGTATAATCAAATTCAAGCGAATAACCAAATAAAAATGGTACTTATACCATTTTGCATTGGTATTTACCGATCCGTTCAAGCGAGTGTGGTTATCACTTTGGTTATAAGATCCGTGACGTCATGAATCAGCTGTTATATGTCATAGTTATGACCGTAAAATTGTGGTATTTACCCAACTCCGCAGTAGATTTATATTTCTGGTTATGATTTGAAATGTGACAAGTTAGAATTTTGGCGGGTGTTGGATATTTTTGTTGCACTTCAGCTTCATTTTTGAGAAACTTGATACATGCTGACTTCAGTTGTAGCATAAAGTAGAGCACCTTATTAGATATACTCATTACTGCTGGACACTTTAAATCTAGTTCATATGCTTAACAAAGTATCATGTGTAGTCATATACCACAAGAATATTAAAATATGGCCATATAAACTCACTGGATAATGTCCACCTGTATACGGTTTTCTAATACCTTTTTTCATCTCTTTTTCCTATCATTTCTGCTAAATCAATAAATTTTTTCTTTAACATGCGGACAAGTTTAAAGAATTGACGGTTACCATAGCTACAAAGCCATTGTTCCATCATTAAATTTTTCTGAAAAAAAACATTCTCCCACTAATATTATGAAAGGTTTATTTTATAAACCTTCCATGCACTGTTCTAGACGAAAAAGCACCGATTATTAAGTGATAATAAAAATAATCTAAAATTATATACGCGCTTTTCTAAAATAAACAACTTGCAACAAAACAGCGGTTAAAACCAACGCGTTCAAGCGATTCGAGTGACTGACGTCAACCCGTGTGTTATCTTAAACCATATTATAACCGCGGTACATAATACAGAAATTTTGGTTATTCGCTTGGATTTGATTTATATCAATAAAAATCAAGCATTTGATATGTCAAATGCGTTTCCTACATCTTCGATTACCTTCTCCCTCGTCATTTAAAATCAGGTGGGCGTGCATTTATGATTTAATAATTTAACTCATTTTTCGGCACCGCGAAGACAAATTTTCAATTGACATATGTTTTTTAAATGACATTGACATAAGACTTGTCACCCGCTAGTACCTCACAGACGTTAGGCGGTTACCTGTACCACGTGATTTTTTGACATTTGGATGACGTCACATCCGGCTTCCCCTATTCCCTTTCTTCCCGAAAATTTGAGTATCGGTTCCTGGTAGTGCACTGTGCTACACCGTAGACTCGCGAAAAAATGCTTATAGAATCCCTGCGTGTTTGCCAGGTTTTTAGTCATGTTGGTCGTCAATTTTTGATGAAAAAATCGCCAGAAATCTCCAATCCAAATTAACTAGGACTCTAACCATAAAACTCCAGGTTAGAGATTGGAATGGATATGTCGCCCGGCAGGCTTATTACGTAAAAATTTCCAACTCTGATCGGTGAGCAACCGACTTGCGACCGACCGAAAAATTCGTATTCGCTAACGCAGTTGGCAACCGGTTGCCCAACTGTCATTGAATGCAGTTTTTGCGACCGAACAGCGCCACTAGCAATCGAGTAGCAACCGGTGGAACTAAAGTGACATACATATGAACATATGATAAACAATCGTGTTTATAAATCGAAAAATAAATAAATACATTGTGGATCGTGATTGAGAATTTAAAATTAACTATGGGACCTAGTTTTGTTGGAAATTGAACACGTAAGTATATAATACGATGGTCTGTTCTTAAAAATGAATGTCTGTGTGAGCCGCAGATGTATGGATGTTTTCATAAGTCAAGGGTGGCCCCTTGATACACACTTAATATATACACAGTCAATTGTCGACAAATAGATGACACAGTTTCACATAGATTAGCCTTGAAAACTTATCTCAAGACAGAAAGAGCGATGCAAAATAACGCGAGGGTGAAAACAGCTTATTGACAAGTGCCAGATGTTTCTCTAAATCAGGGCTGTCCAACATACGGCTCGCGGCCCGCGAACTCCTTTCTTGCAGCCCGCTTCATGTATACATATATGTATACCATATAGTATAGTATATACCTATTAAAACTCAGTAATAATGTTGTATAGAAAGATTTTATAATGAGGCCCTCCAAACTGCATTTTTTTTAAGTGGCCCTTGGGCCAGATTAAGTTGGACAGCCCTGCTCTAAATCAATCAGCAGTTGCTGCTGGCACTTACCTATATAGTTCTAGATGACTGCTTGTTCATTAAAGGCCGCAAATGCATCAGAAAACGTGAACATAGCGTTTATTTGTGTTTGAGATTTTGTCTGACTAGGAGGTGTTTGTGTTAATTTTCAAAATGAAATATAATCTCAACATTGCAAATCGATGAGGTACTTGTCTTTGCAGAAATTCATCCTAATTTAGCTAAGGACAGTGTTGGGCTTGGAGGGAGATCAAAGGAGACAATTAATAGAAAGTGGGACGAATTAGCGATATGTCTGAATACTCATGAATCTGGAGCTACAAAAAATGGACAATGCTGGAGAAGGGTGAGTTTATGTTACATTTTGTTATTCATCCTTTTGTCATCGCTAATTGATAATTTTTATAATTGTGCTGAATCTTATTTTTCATTATAAGATTACTTACAACCTTTTGCTATGATCATTATTGTTGTATCCCTCTTTTCATTAGATAAATTCAAAAAAGTTGTAGAACTTTTCATAGAAGAAAAAATGCAATGTTGATTAATAGAAAATTATCTTTAACAGTGTAATAGCACAATTGTTCCCAAAGACTACGTTTTCACAATATTCTATCCAAAACTTTTTTTTTTTTATCTAAGTAACTTGAGAAACGATGACGTTTATCCATTTTTTCAGTAATTCAATTCTTATTAGATGAGACTTTATATGAAACTCTTTTGTACTCTACGGATAGAAAATAGTTTATTTGATTCAATGTATTTGTATTTTTCCAAATAGTTGCTACCATCTTTTAATATTTGCCAACATAGTTTACACAGATTCCATGGGTCATTTTCTTGGATTAGTACTTTAGGTAATAATAAAGCATTTTGTTCCATGTTCCATATGGTTTTATTCATGTACTAATACAATAATACTTTTTTACAGTATTGGATAGACCTTAAACATAGGATACAATCTAGAGCTGCACAATATAGGCAGGATGCTACAGGTACTGGTGGAGGGTGCTAATGTTGATAACTTATCTGAATTAGATATGGCCATATTGGGAACACCAGCAGTATTTGAAGATACTGAACTTCAAATTCCATTTAGTGTAAGTACATAACTCCTGGATAAATTTAAATGGGATTAATTTTAATTAATGAAAAATCAGTTTATATTCTCTATCTCTATTGCCCACTTAGTTAAACCACATTTAATTTGATTTTACATCCTGGCACATCATCTTCTAACACTTGATCACAAGTACAAAGTTCTGCTTCAAATGGAAAAAATACAAATTTTTATTTTAATTTTTCACTAGTGATGATCTTGTTTTAGAATGAAAAATTGCATATGAATTCAGTTTCTACTTGGTATTGCTTCATAACTTCAGTTATTAATTAAAAGCTTTTTGATTTTCAGAACCAACTCCTTCATCTTCAGCTGTTGAGCCACCATCAGATATACAATTACAAATAGCTAGACAGGGTGCACGAAAGTTGTATGCAGGCAGAGACAGCATTAATGCAACTTCAAAGATTTCACAAGAAATTTGGTCAAGCATCTAAAAACTTCCAACCTGATTGAAATTTAGAAAGGATAAAGTATTGTTATGATTATTGTTTACTTGTGTGACCTAATCTTTGTCATTTTAATAAAAGATATTTGCACAAATTAATTTACTATATTATTCTTAACTACTTCTCTTAAATCATTTCATAAAAATCACTGACTTATTTTTTGTAATGGCACCTCCAATCCATAAATCATTTATAACTCTTTAATACAGTAAAAAGTTTGTCTCTCAACATATTTAAGACAATAAGATTTTTTTTATTGTATTTAAAATAATTGCTTTACAAATTAACGAAAATAAAATAGGAGTGTCATTAAAAAAATTGTATTTGTAGAAATGCATTTGATACATTTTCTAAAGAGAATTGGTCCCCATTAGAAATACATTTAGCGATTAGTACTAATCTTCACAAGCGGCGAAGTTCTAGGCTGTTTGAGTGATTGTGGAACACGAGTTTTTTTTGAAATTTTTACGATTGTATTTAGTACCATTAATGCTTAAATTGATAAAAAAGTTGTGGGTTCTATTAATCCTCTAAAATAGATATTGTTGAATATGGTCATGTGAAAATAAAACTTTCTAGAAAACTAATTCTATAACCATTAACTTTTTCTTTACAGTGGTTGATAAAACATAAGCATATGACAATGAATATTATTTCATGGAAATTTAAAATGTTCAATACAGTAGATAATACAAACTTTATTACTCCTGTGCATCACTCTATGGTATTTCTGGTAAGACCGATTCTTAATGGATGTGTCCAGAGTCACCTGTAAAAATATATCTTTCATTATTACTCATCTTCAAGCAGGCATATAACAATAATTACAACTAAAGTAAAAAAAATCAAAGTAAATATTAGTGCTGAAACCGGTATGTTGCCTAAAATATGTGAAATATTAAGACTCGGATTTGTTGCTGTATTGTTAATCTTACAGATAATGAGTCTGAGGTATTGATCTTAGGATCGATGAATATTGACTTATTACTCTTGTTAATAGGAAATTTCAACTTCCACAGTGATGGAATTTTTATCAGGTAATGTAAACTTCCATGAGTTGAAACTTTTTGATGTAGCTGAACTCAATGGTTTCTCAGTTAATGATCCACCATTTAATTTTGATATGCAATATCACTTGCTTAATATGCATGGCAATATAATTACTATAATCTCTAACAGTGTTTGAGGGAAGTAAATATGCTTAGATAGAATGTCTGGATGATTTAATGCATCTACCATTTCCCTTAGTGCTTTGGATACACTAGGTTGACTGAGCCCATGTAAATAACCCATGCCAATGTTTCTGGCAGGAACTAGCGGCTAGCACCAGAAGTGCTGCTAATACCTAAAACCAATATGTTTCTATACTGTGGTAGGAAGGCGCAAGTAAGCTTATTTGATAATCATTATGAACTTCAAGTCATAGATACTGAAAAATACGTCGTAGGCGAGAAGTTTGCCGTCTTTGATCGTGCATTCTTTCGCTTTGCAATGCTTCCATAAGTAAAAATGCACGAGCCATCCAGAGAATCAAAATTGCTGAAAATACAAATTGGGAGCATACAATCACTTCTTAGACTCGTCAAGCTATTTTATTCCTTATTTGAACTTGTTATACTTACCTTTCTTGTTAAAAAAATGAGTAGTTTTGACAATGTTATCCAAACAAAAACATTAGCAACCGACTAGCGACCGACTAGTCGACTACCACAGAGCAGTTGTTAATTTGACAGTTCAAATCGCTAGTAAGTTGCTGTTGGGTCGCTGTCAATGAGTTAGCGAATACCAATTTTTTGATACTCCTAACAAAAGAATGCACTTTTCGTTCAGCAGTTGCTCCATAGAGGCGCCACCGTAGCCGGTCGGCGATTGAGACGCACTGACTGATACATAATACGAAATTTGCGTTTGACAGCAACTATCGACCAACTTGTGTCGGTTGACGGTCGGTTGGAAGTTAGGTAATAAGCCTGCGGGGAGGCTTAGTGGTGACTGGCCTAAGCGCCTAAGTAGCCTGCCTGTTGACGATAACTGAAGAGCAAGAATGAGGGGGGTTACTCATAATAATACTCCAAGAATCCATTGAAAAGCGGGGGGTGAGGATGGGGGGTTGTTAGTCAGGTGTAATATTAACGAAGCGAAGTTCGTTTATAGTGGGGCGGATCCAGAGGTGGCGGGACTGCTGGCGAATGTTCTTGTGATATTGTGACAGCAAGAGAACGGAGGAGAGGAGGAGGGTTACCGATTATTGAAAATTCAAGAACGGGGAGACAATAATTTTCTGCGTATTTACCTTTCCTCAGTGAACCTTGGGGGGGGGGGGGGGGGGCTCTCTCCTCTCCCGGTTATCATACAAAAATTGTATAATAATCGTACATCAAGCAACTCTGTGTCAAAGGTGTTAGGAAGGGATGTCGTTGATATGCTCGGATCACACGACACCTTGACATGACATTTGACCATGAGCTTCATTGTGCTTAGAGAACCGAACTGCCGCTGGTCCTCGTTTCATGTTTCATTAATCTCTACTGAAAACCAAATTAGTCTGACGGATTGAGTTCATGTGTTCAAGAGAAGTGTCTATAGACATTATGTTACACCAGTTCCTTGAATTAAGGTGCATGTTGAAAACATGCCTTAGTTGACTCTCTACGGATCTTGTACATTCCAACGCAAGGTTTCCACCTACATGATCATAGTCGAGCGATTTCGGTTAGTACCCATCTAGCGCTCATTGATGAGTGTCGCCCTGCTTCGAGTAGGCATCCTTCTTGGGTTTGACAGTAACCTAACATATTGTAGAAGCCTGCGCGAACATTTTCTGGTTCAACATTTTGGCAACGCGGAAGCTTGCACGAGCTTCTGCGTCGCTGTTGCTAGGCCATCGCTCTTTAGCCGGTTTCTATCTCTTCCTAACCTGTCGATACACACTTCTCGCGCTTCTCTCTCGTACAAATTGAACTCAAGCCGTCAGACAAATTTGATTTTCCCTGTATACACATATCAGTAAAAATTGATTACTACTTAATTGGCGTCAGAAATGTTAAAAAACGGCCAGATATCGCCAGTTTGCTGGATACTGGGCGCCATTAAAGTAGCCAATTGCCAAGCTATCCATTTGAAGCCGTCAAATCGCCACTTTGGCGAAAAATCGGCACGCCTGGCAATCCTGAATCCCGGCAAGCACACGTCACGAGATGCCGGTAATACAGTTACCTCGATTTTGCCTGGAGAGGATGACCTTGGTGTTGCCAGTTCGCCCATTAGACGTTTCACCACCCCTCGCATAACCAAGAAATAACCGCGGCATATGGGGTCAGCTGCGGCCTGGCAAGGTGCACCACAGAAGTACTGACAGTAAAACACACGGCTGGCAACACTGTAACTATTGACAGTCTTTAGTTGATAGCATCTTCTATCAATTTTTTAAATACCCCCATTACCTCTGTTGATTTTTCTGGAAATTTCAAACAAATATGCAAAAATGGAAGTATAGGAATTCAGGTGATATGTCATGATACTGCTTTAGCTTTTGCATGATTGCGTAATATATCTAGCCTAAAAGCCTTGCCGTGAAGTATTGGGCCCCCTTCCAACCACCAACGTCATAGACTAACTAACTAACGCTTTGAGCAAAAAGCTACGTCCATCACATCTAAAGCACTGATTAGATATGTATAAGTTTCAAATGAAAAAACGGTGAAATCCGAAGTTCTACAAGTCGCAACAGTACAATTTGCACATTTGCGATGTATCCTAATTTGGATCTGCATTAAGTGGGCTTCCCTTCCTGCCAAGGGGTCTGATTATATTTTCATATTTATATTTGGAGATGAAATGCTCAATTTTCGTTTTTCAGAAGACCATCAACAACTTTCGATTTAGAAGCACACGTATCCACAAGTTGTTGGTCGACAAAGGACGGTAGCCCCTGAAACAGAAACATTTGTTGGGTCGGATTAATTGTTCAATAAGTCTCTCCATTGAAATACTGCCATCCACTATTACTGCCGACCTTACACTAATAATGCCAAGTAGAGTCCGATCTTAAAATTGTTTCAGAATTGGAGCTATTAGGGAGTTATCCAATTACTGCCATCCACTATTACTGCCGCCCATACACTAATAATGGCAAGTCAAGACTGATCTTAAAATTGTTTCAGAATTAGAGTTAATTATGTGCAATTCCGCGCACTACTCCTAACCTAAAAATATTGAGATAAAATAAACTTGTATCGTGTTTAAAAGTGTATCAAGATTCATTTAATTCCAATAACCTTATTAATTGTAAAGTTCTGCTATTTTCCTACTTTCGTATATAATTTCTTTTATCTGCGAAATCTTCTATGATTCGTCTGAATCCAACCTCACAATCTGATACCATTATGGCACAAACAAAAAATGAAAAAATGGCGGATCTGACAAGTATGATGGCTTATTACCAATGAACTGTCAACACTGATGGAATCGCCCCGTCCCATTTGTACAATGAAACATACGACAAAGAGGTCCGAGAGAGAGATGGAGCTAGTCAGGGCAAAAAGCGCGCGGACTTCAATGAATTGCATAGGAAACCGAGGATTCTTAGAGAAGATTTAACAGTTATTCAGGCAACTGGAACGAGATAAAATCCAGGAACCGTAATTATAATTAAAAAACCAAGTTTTTTTATTTATATATACATATGTATGAAACTTGCCAATAAATTCTCCTTTACACATTTGAAGATATAAAAATTAGTATTTAACATAAGTAATTAATAATTCAGGTAGCAAAGAGATTACATGTCTGCTTATAATTAACGTAACTGCTCTAATATGCTATATCTTACATATAAAAAATAAGACCGCTAAGAAATATCACAATAAATACATGTTATTTTCTATATATCTTTATAATGTTCCAAATAGTATTTATGCACATTTAAATTTATATTATTTTAAATGTAGTGGGAACACGTCCAGTTTTGTAGAGATTAAAGTGTACAAAGAAAAAACCCTTATATATATATGTGTGTGTATACAAAATATTTGTGTATAATACAATATAGGTTTTACCATAGTTCATTCTAGAAATTATGTATTCATGTTTTCTTTTCAAAACCCTTCGATGGCTAGGTTCTTTCTTGAGATGGGCTGGAAAATCAAACACAGATAGAACTGGCACCTTTTTTAGTACCTTATTTCCATGAACACTAACTTCATAATCCTCTGGAGTGAAGTGCTTTTCACAAATTACCGTTTTTGTACTGGGAGTAAAGTTTTCTCTTCTTATAGCATGTAACCACAACTTCCTCATGTTAGGATCTGTAGCTATCCTAAAAATCCAGATATTTTCTCGAATTACCAATTAACAGGTAATTCTCACACAAACATGAATGAGATGATTAAAACCAACCTGTGAAACTTCATTTTCACATCTTTTCTGCGTCTATTGCAACAATTCACCGCACTGCAAGATTCAACCATTTTTAAACAAATATCACATAAAACAACAGCTCTTGAAGGCTGTCCGGCATAAAAATGTTTATAATAATTGTCGCAAACTATCACTATTAATCTTTAATGTCACTAAAGACAAACATTCACCAAAAACCCTTAGAACATATACTAAGTGACATATAAATCCGAACACCCAGGTTAAATGGTTTTATTTTAATAAAATTTTGTATAAGTACTTAATGAAGCATAATAAGTAAATGATAAAAATTTCAAAATGATTGCACTGCTTTAAAGCCCTCTGACCTTTAATAATGTGTGGATGCACCCTGATGTGCTACGCATTCTCCAGCGCGCCTAGGCATGCTTCTGATCAGGTGGTCAATGTCCTCCTGTGGTATCTCATTCCAGGCAACCACCAACTCCTCTCGAATTGCTTCTAGAGTCTGAGGAGGACGTTGCAAATTGAGCAATCTCCTACCTATCATATCCCACACGTGCTCAATTGGGGATAAGTCGGGAGATCTTGGTGGCCATGGTAACAATGTGACATCATTATGTTGAAAGAAGTCTATTGTGACTCTTGCAACATGTGGTCGGGCATTATCTTGTTGGAAAGTTGGATCTGCCAGGGTGTCATGATAGGGTAAAAGATAGGGTTCTAGAACTTCGTGGATATAACGCTGCGCGTTCATGTTACCTCTGATGAAGATTAAAGGTGACCTGGAACCATAAGCTATAGCACCCCAAACCATAACTCCAACAGTGTGATGAACATGTCTTTCAACAAAAAACTGTGGATTCCTCCTTTCACCACGTCGCCTTCTAACCCTGGCACGACCATCGTGCATGCCTAAACAAAATCGAGACTCGTCACTAAAGACAATACTGTTCCATTCCTGATCCCAGAGTGACCGTTGTCTGCACCACTCAAGGCGATTACGTCGGTGTTCTCGAGTTAAAGGGAGGACCCAGTGTGGCCGGTATGAAAACAAGCCAAAACTTCTCATTCGTCGGTAAACACTTCGCATGCCAATAGGCCTTCCGTGTTCTGCAAACCATTCATTTGCAATGGACCTGGTAGTGGAGAAACGATCCCTTAAGGCCAATAATCTTAGGCGGCGATCATCACGGTCTGTTGTTCTACGGCGGCGTCCAGTGCCCCTTGCTCTTTGCGTACGGCCTTCTCGAAGCCATGCCTGACAACACCTAACCACAGTGTCTACACTTCTTTGCACTCTAACTGCAATTGCCCGAAAAGAAAGTCCAGCTTCCCGAAGTCCCTCTATACGGCCCCTATCAAACTCACTAACTTGACGAAATCGTACAGGTCTCCGTACTCTAGGCATCGTAACCGATCGTAAAGGATGTCAAGAACCAAAATCCGCCAACGTTGATTCTTTACTGCGGCTGAAATATTCATTTTTAGAGCGTTAGTGAATTAAAAAAAAGCAGTATAAAAACCGGAATGTCCAACTGATAAGGCTGAAAATTTTTTCACTTGTTATTTACAGTAAGATAAATACATTCACCAACTTTTATTAAAATAAAACCATTTAAACTGGGTGTTCGGATTTATATGTCACTTAGTATATATGGAAATACCACAATGGAACGCGACGTTTTGCCCTGACTAGCGCTATCCTTCTCGTTTCTCATTTTAGCCGCTTAGAATTCGCGTTACGCCTGTTCCATCAGTGTAGACAGTTCATTGCTTATTACCTGCTTATTACTGTAACTTTAGGCATACCCATTAATTCACCCAGGGTGGTGAAACGTCTTATAGGCGAACTGGCGACAACAAGGTCATTCTCTCCAGGCAAAATCGAGAAAACTGTAAGTAACAAGCAATACGAAAATAAGACAAACGTAAAACACAAAGTGGCAACTAAAGGTAAAAAAAACTTGATAAAACTATTTTAAAATTTAGATGAACAATAAAATAAGATGGTTAAAAAATTATGAAATAGTAATCATTTTTTCATGTTTGTACTCAAAAGTCCTGACACACGTCCGGAGAACGATAAAATATAATACAAAAATAACACATAAAAAACACAAACGAAAACAAAGTAATAAATAGTCAATAATTATGGAACAAAGTCGGTAAAATCATTATTTAAAAACTCATCTATGCTGTAAAAAGCTTTCGTCACTAGATACCTTTTCACAGTTGCTTTAAAAATGGTTGAGTTGAGTGTTTGACAAAACTTGGGCAGCGCATTAAAAAATTTCACACCGAAATAATTACTTCCGTGTCTAGTTTTTGATAGTCTTGTGTACTCTGGTATTAATTCATTGTTGAACCTTGTGTTATATTTGTGAATCTCTTTCGGAGTTCTGTAATCATCGTAATTATTTTTAACGTGGATCAGACATTCCAGTATATATATGCATGGCACAGTTAAAATTTTTAGGTCGATAAATGTCGTCTTGCAACACTGTCTGAAATATAAGTTTGCTATTATTCTCAAGCATCGTCTCTGAACAGCAAACACCTTCGATACATGACATGAATGTCCCCAAATCAGTATGCAGTATTGCAAGTTAGATTGGAAGTAAGCATAATAGGCAGTCATTAAAGTCGATTTTGTTACGTAGGTATTTAAACTACGTACCATATATGTTATTTTAGATAACTTCTTTGATAAAGAGGTGATGTGTGATTCCCAAGTTAAGCTTGCATCAATAATCACTCCAAGAAATTTCACGGGCTCTACTAAATTACTTCTATGTGGACGAGTACTGAGTAGAAGAGATTGAGTTTTCGCTATGTTGATTGACAAACTATTGGCATTAAACCAGTTTTGAATGTTTTCAAAATGCTGCTGAGAATCGAGCAATACATGGTCAAAGTTACTATTGGAGGATATTGATGTCGTGTCATCCGCAAATAATATATACTGATTGATGCTACAGTTTGGCAGATCATTGATGTAGATCAAAAAAAGAATCGGTCCCAAGACACTTCCTTGGGGAACTCCGTGCTTAATATGTACATTGTTGGATAAACAATTTTGAAAACTAACATACTGTCTTCTATCGGATAAATAAGACGCAATTAAGGACAGGCTATTATTACTAAAACCATACAGCGACAACTTTTGAATCAAAATGTGATGTTGGACACAATCAAATGCTTTTGTAAGATCATAGAAGTTAGCGAGAGCAAACATGTTATATTCCAGACATTTGTTGATGAAACTAATAAAATCGTTTATTGCTGCTTTCGTTGATCTGTTGGTACGGTATCCAAACTGGTTGTTACAGAATAAATTGTTACCTTCGAAGTATTCACATATCTGATTCTTCAGAAGAATTTCGAAAATTTGTGCTATAATTGGTATTATAGAGATGGGTCTGAAATTACATGGATCATTCTCACAGCCTTTCTTGAAGAGTGGCACAATCTTTGCAAGTTTTAATAAGGCAGGAAAGACATTATTTTCTATACACATGTTTATCAATTTTGTTATAGGATATACTAACAAGTTATTTAAGGTCTTCATAATTTTAACATCGATGTCATATGGATCTTTACTTTTAGAATTCTTCAAGCTTTTGATTGCGTCTCGAACATCATTGAATGAAACAGTTCGAAAGTTGAAATGTAGTGTATCACTAGTCTGTATAAAATCTTTGAAGTTCGACTGGGTAGCTGGAATTTCAGCGATAATGGTTTCAGCAATGCTGACGAAGAAAGAGTTTAAATCATTCGCGTTGAGAGTAGACGAATGTGATTTTGATGATTGCACACCATTGGATTTAATCACGTTCCACATAGCTGCTTGTTTATCTGACGCTCTACGTATATATTTATCATGAGCATTTTTTTTCCTAATTCTGATTTCTGATCGGTACTTTGATTTGTATACATTAATCTCCTTCTTTGATACTACTTGGGGATTATCTTTATTAATTTGTGTTATTAGTTCCAAAGTCTCTCTCATCTGAGCCAATTCGTGATCAAACCAGTTGATTTTGTTGCGACAACCCTCTGATACTAACCTAGATTTGATTGGCAAGCACTCAGCGACATTATTTGTTAAGATGTTCATGAATCGTTCGAGTTTAGTGGTCAGTGGTAAACTAATATCAGACAAAAAGATCCAGTCGACTGTTTCAATTATACTGTGAAAAGACCTTCATCAGTGACAGGCCTGTAGTTTATTCTCTTCCTAACAGGTTTTAAAGTTTTCAAATTAAAATGAAATGCAATAATACCTAAATGGTCAGAAAAACATGTATCAAAGGCTTCTACAACTATGCTTGACATGTTTATATTGGTGAAAATATTATCTAGACAAGCATTCTGCCTAGTATTCACATTCACAGTCTGATACAGTCCAAAAGAAACACAAATATCACACATCACATTGGCATGCTTGTCGTGAGTGTTAAATTTAAAATTAAAATCACCAGATATGATTATATTTTGCTTATAGTCTAAAGTACTAAGTAGTATTTGAAGCTTATTATAGAATATATTGAAGTCTCCATTTGGTGATCTATATATGGTTAGAATTTGTGTGCCATCCAAACAGGTGACACCAGCAACCTCAAAGTGTAACTCCTCAGAAATGTTTAAAACTTTGTCACACAAAGGCTTAGCACTAAACTTATTATTGACATAAATACAAACACCACCGTGGATTTTGCTTGACCTGCAAAAACTAGACACATTCATATATTCACAAATATTCAGAGTATTAATCTCATCGCAAGTCAACCAATGCTCATTCAAACAAAGAAAGTCATAACTGTGCTGTTTTGCCACCAACTCAAGTTCATCAACCTTGTTTCTCAAACACTGTACGTTTAAATGTAAAAGTTTATACCGACAATCATTCGTGCGCACTTCACAGACGCGAGCGTGTGATAAGGAATTTTTCGATACATTCTGTTTACCCGAATCATGTCGTACTAGGTGATTAGTATCGGATTCCCACTGGCCAGTAAATGTGTAATAAGTGATAATGTGCTACAGATAGGCTCTGAACTTAACATATCGGCATGATGCAGTTGGTAGATTATTTAAAATTGCATGTCTGGATTCAGCCTCTGTATAATACTTGTAGCTGGCACCGTTATACAGGATGACTTCGAAGTTGAGTAATTTATTTTAACAGTGAGTAGATCTGATCAAAAGAAATGTTTTTTCCTTTAACATTTTTGTGGTAAAATTAAAGTAACAAAGTT